TTTTTTTTTTTTTCTAGATAACTTGTTTGCTCAGTCATGCTTTTTTTTTTTTTGTTTTTTTTTCTTGCTCGTTTGATTGGTTTGTACTTTGTACATTCGACTGTGCTGTTTGTACCTTGTTGCACTTGGCTGAAGAGAGGAGGAGAAGGGGGAGGGAGGAAATGGAATTGGAAATCGGAGAAACTAGTGACAGATCTTTGTAGGAATTCTTTATTTATTTTTTTTTTTAAAACAGCATTTACCGAGCAAAAGAGTTTCAGCACATGTCGTATTTGTTAATGTAGGTAGTTGAAGGATTGTTTGGCAAATAAAGGTAGCAATGACCACCATTATTAAATCAAATTGTGTTCTTCAGTCATAAGCGATGGTGTGATCATGATGACGGTAATGATGCCTTTTGTTTGGTATGTTTGCAGAACGTTTTGCTGTGATTGCTTTTTTTTAGATGAATTGTTTTAGTTGTTTTTTTGTTTTTTTTTGTTTTTTTTTTTTTTTATTTTTTATCAGTCAGAGTAGTCTTTACCAAATTCGATTGTGTTTGCTTTTTGAGTGTGCTTATTTATGTATACGAAGAGTCCTAGGTGTACTTAGCGGTAACGAATTTTTGAGTAGGTTAATTTGCTTAATTTGTTACCCGATGCGTTGTTTGGATGTTTAAAGCGTTTTGCGTAATATGATGGTATAAGTCACTGAAAGAATGTAATGATTAGAAAACATTTTATACTTTAGGATGCCAACACCGTCTCTGCTCATCCACAAAAACAGGGAATTTCCTGATTTTGAGAAGTCCAATGAAGTTGATCAACGAGCAGAGACGTTCAGTACCGTCGAGAAATTCCTCGGCAAATATGCTGATCCTAAACTTGCCAGACCAATCAAAACTGTGAGTTTTTTTGATTCGTTCATTTTTTGTTTGTTTATTTATCTATTTTTTTTTATTTAGTTTCTTTTTTGACTTTTTCACTGTTATTAGGCGACCAGTTCAAACTTTTAGTAGCTTCCTTTATTCGTACTTTTTTTTTAATTAAGATTTTTTCCTAAAAATAATTTTGTATTTTTTGCACGTTGTTTTTTTAGGTTATTGTATTAGCTGGATAGAGACTATTATTTTTGAGCTATGTTTACTTTTCTCGCTTTTATCGCTTCTGTTTAAATATCTAACGTCTTTACGTGTTGCCTAGATGTTTTGTACTGCTCACTTCATTTTTGAATACTTGGAATAGTGCAAATAAGCGGCTTTAAAAAGGACTATTTTTAGGGTGTTGTTTTAAAGCAATTTGATAAGCAACATTAGTTTCATATTTTTTTAGGACCAATAGGACTTGCTTATTTTTACTGCAACTAAAATTTAGATTAGCTTCAAAAATAAAAAGCTGCGTTGCGGTTGAACCATATTCTTGCAGTTTTTGACTGAAATGAGCTTTCGATTGTACTATTTACAGTGGTTAGCAAGAACCAGTTAATTTACATTGCTTGTATACTATTTAATTCATTGTCAGTGTTTTAGCTATTAATTGCTAACAATGGTATGGCAGCATTCAAATGCGTTATGTCCATCAGACGTTGGGCCCAAGAAACATTCAAAGATGATCGTTTGTTCAAATTTATTAACTTGACGACAGAGCAAGAAATATCGTCGAATCCAGGCATATCTTTTTTAACGCTAGTATTGGATTTTATAGAAGATTTGTGAAAGTTGAAGAGTGCAATTGGTCAATGATTTGGTTTTCTCTGTAAAGGTTGCAGGAAGGAGAGGGAGGTGAAGAAAAGTTTTCAGCGTACGTAACAGTGCAAATCAAATAGTGTGAGAGTAACTACTTGAGACTGGTGAGACTTCAAAATTCGAAAAGTGATTATTTTTTGTCTTACTGAAATCATGCACTTGCAGAGTACTTGAAGATGATTGATAACTTTGTTTTCTCACAATCTGGAGGGAATGAAAGCAACTATGCAAATGTTGATGAGATATTGAAACATGCAACGAGTAACAAAGTCGATGCTGTGTGGGCTGGTTGGGGTCATGCATCAGAAAATCCAGATCTTCCAAATGGCCTCAAACAACAAAATATTTTGTTTATGGGCCCACCTGGCTCTGCAATGTTTACTCTAGGAGACAAAATTGCATCTACCATTCTTGCTCAGGCATCTTTTTTTTTACTATTTTGTTTATCTCTTTATAACTTGATCATCTCCATAGCTTTACCTCCACAGCCAGCTCCATCTCCATAGCCTTGTTTTTGTGTTTTCGACTTCTGGAGTGGTAGTCGCTCCTAGGACATGAAAGAATTATTTTAATTTTAACTCGACCGCTGAAATTCTGAAATTTGGCTGTTTATAATTTCAGTCTGCTGGGGTCCCAACTGTTCCTTGGTCAGGAAGCGATATTTTGCTTCCAAAAGAACTTTGTGACAAAGGTAGATCTGATATAGAAGTCAGTAACGATTTGCGGATGGCTGCTTGTGTGAACGACTTTCATCAGGCTATCAAAATTATGAAGGTTATAAGTTATCAGATTAATAGTAAATTTTGGTTTTTAAGCTTGTTACATTTTTTTTAACTGTATACTCTTATACCATTAGTCATCACTGTTTTTTTCAGGAAAAAAATATACCTTATCCTGTAATGATTAAAGCTTCAGAAGGCGGAGGGGGGAAGGGCATTCGTCAAGTTCGATCAGAGGCTGAGTTTGAAGTAAACTTCAGGCGGGTTCAGGTAAATCATATTTTAATGCGCATATTTTTTTGAACAGGAGCATTAAATGATAATATAGTATTGACCGATTATCTTTTATTTGATGGCTCATCATAGTATTTAGGCCGAAATTCCTGGTGGTCATATTTTCCTGATGCATTGCTTAGAAGAAGCAAGGCATATTGAGGTGCAACTGTTAGGGGATATGTATGGTCAGGTCATATCGCTTAGAACAAGAGATTGCTCTGTGCAAAGAAGGTGTCAGAAAATCATCGAAGAAGCACCAGCAATTGCTGCTCCTACTTGGGTCCAGAGAAACATGGAAGCAGTTAGTTTACTAAATTATTTTCTATTGTTACCCTTATGGATCAGATTTTCATATAATTTTAAATAAAAATGTTACTTTCTCGAAATTCTTGCTTAGGATGCGGTCCGATTGGCAAAGATGGTTGGTTACGTCAGTGCGGGAACTGTTGAATACCTTTTCGATCCTAAAACCAACAAATATTATTTTCTGGAATTAAACCCGCGACTGCAGGTACGAAATTGAAATTTGTCTGCTGCTCTTGAGAAAGCTATGCATAGTTTTTTTTACTTAAGTGAATTTCAGGTTGAACATCCTCTTAGTGAAATGTTAACGAATGTGAATCTTCCGGCTGCTCAACTTCAAATTGCTATGGGAGTACCCTTGCATTGTATAAGTGAAGTTCGCTTGTATTATGGTCAAAGTAGGTATGGAACTGATAGAATACCATTTGATCAGGTAATCTTTTATATAGAAGCCAAGTAGTTCAACTTTTCGATTAGTGTTAAAACACTTCCCTAATGGCCACCACTCAACATCATGTTGCAGATGCATATGAACGCTGATAAGCACATTGTCTCTGTACGAATAACGAGTGAAGATCCAGACGAAAACTTTCGGCCAGCGTCGGGAGAAATAACAAATTTAAACTTTCGTTCGACGCAGTTTGTGTGGGGTTATTTTTCACATGTTGGTGCCGGTTCCTTACATGAATATGCAGATTCACAATTTGGGCATCTTTTTGCTACAGGTTCAACAAGGTTCCTGGTTTGTTAAACTTTTGAAACGAGTTGTTAACGGTTATGTTTAGTGAGATCTCTTCACACTCGGTTTTTTTCAGGCATTTAGCGATTTCGAATATGCTGAATGCACTACAAGAACTGCAGCTGCAGTCTAAATTTCCTGTAACCGTGCCTTATTTGATATCACTTTTCAAAGATCCTGAGTTTGAGAATAATGCGATTAATACGAGTTGGCTGGATCGCCGTATAGCTTCTAAGAAGCATACTGTAGAATTGCCTCCGCTTCCAATGGCTGTGGCTTATGGCTCAATGCTTATTGCTCATTCACGGATAACAGAAGCGTTTAGCAGGTTTAGCAACTCGATAAGTCGTGGACAGATCTTACAGCCGTCTGAATTGACCGAAACCCATCAGGTCGAACTTATCTACAGCAATGTAAAGTACAGTGTAACAGCAACTAGGATATCAGACATCCAGTACTGCGTGAAAATGAACGGTTGTAGCGTACCTGTGGAATATCGTGAGTTGCGCAACGGGACTTTGCTTTTGAAATACAATGAACGCTCACATCCTTGTTACATGGACGAAGAGTCAGAAAAATACAAAGTTCACATCGGTAGAATGCAAATTGTTTTTGAAAAGGAGAATGATCCAACTGTGTTACGTTCTTCTTGTGCTGGCAAACTGTTGACCTACGAAGCTGAGGATGGTGGGGTTTTGAAACCAGGCCAGGTGTATGCTAGCATGGAGAGCATGAAAGTGGTTTTGGATATGAAAGTGAAGAAGGTTGTTAATTATTATTTTATTGCTTATGTCTACCAGACTTTAGTCTTGGCCGCTGCAGTTCAGCTTCGTAATTTTTGCAGGTTGGTGGCAGATTCAAGAGAGTTGCGCAGATTGGACAGGTGCTTCATCCAGGAACACTTGTCGCGCGACTTGAGGAGGTGGTTGGGACGGCTAGCACAAAACCACAGGACTTTGACGGTATATTTGAGGAATGGAAGACAGGAGCACCAAAAGTTCTCCCCATCAACATGCGATTTAACGAATTGGTCCAGGTAATTCTTCTTACTAAGGTCTTTTTTCATTCCGGCTTTTTGAGTACCTATTAATTGCATTCCTTTCAGGAAATTCGTAATATATTTGACGGCTATTGCAAACAGGAGCCAACTTTTCCAAAACATTGCGAGTCGCTGATAAAAGATCTTTTTTGTGTTTTGAGTGAACCGTCATTGGCTTTCGAGCAAATGCGACAGATTCTTGCAGTCTTGAAAACAAGAATAAAGCCCCATATGTTTGAGAAGCTCAATGGTATAATGAAACATCGCATTGCCGAGTTTCCTGCGAAAGCAGTTCAGGACGCTGTAAATGTGAGTATCAGCATTTTTTTTAATCAGTGAGGGGTTCTGGAGCACTGAATCTTTTTAAAATTTACGAGGTGTGACACTAAAATTGCAAGCCAAATCTTATTTTAATTTAGGAATATCTGGGATTGCTAGATCCGCAACAATATAGTGTTGAACGACTCAATTTTACGCCGATTACTGCAATTTGTGAAAAGTTTGCACTTGGAACTGAAGGACATACATCACTTGTACTCAAAGAACTTCTTGAATATTACATGCAGAGCGAAAAATATTTCCAGTACTACCAGTATGACAAATGCGTGTCTAACTTGTTGGCTGAGGTTATTAAATTACTGCTGATCTAGAAACTGATGTTCACTTTTTTTCTGCATGAATTGTTTGTTTGATTCCGCTTTTCTCAGTAGCTGAAACTCCTTTCTTTTATGGGTATACAGACGGATAATTTGCTTAGGTGAAAGATGCGGAACGCTGCGTTCGTACTATATATTCACATACACGCGTTAATGAGAAGAATGTTCTTGCTATGAAAATTCTTGAGAGGGTTGGGACTAATCGGCGTTTGGTGCTCTCCTTGTCGTCTGTGCTGGAAAAGCTGGCATCCTTTGTGAAAAATGAAAATCTTGAATTGGCTCATTTGGCGAGAAAAATGCTCATCGATGCTGAAACACCGACTTTTATGGAAATAAAAAGACGGGTTAGTTGCTGCGTTATAATTAACTAGGTACTGATTTGACGTTGAAGAATTGGAGGTAACTAGAAAATTGTCTTGCAGGGATCCTCACCTAGTCCTTCCAATATTGAGAAATATGACTTGTTATTTGAAACCTTTGAAAGTAATTATGATTCTGTCTTGAAATACGTAACTGTTTGTTGTGGTGTGCCCGAATCAGCTATAATGCGGTTGAATGATGGTGGACATCCAAACGACGTACATTTTCCAATCCGAATCCAGAAAATCGCGTACGTTTTCATTTACTCACTGGTTTTTAACAATTAGGACGTAATTTGAATAATTTTCGGTTTAGACATGGTCTCGGGCTTCCTAACGATAATGTTGAAGAAAGAAATGTTGAATTGCGAATAATTGGTGACATATATGGCGTTAGCGAACGTCTGCCAAGGTTGGCTGCCAAAGTCAGCAAACCAAACAGTACACTGTTTTTAGTGTCTCGTATCGATAAACGCGATATCACCTCCAAGCAGAAATTCAGTGAGATTGAAGAAAAACTGGCTACAGTTTTGAAGGTATTGTTAACTGGCATTTCCTGGTATTTTGATAGGCTTTAAGCCATTTTTTGTATTTTCAGGAAGCCGTTGTACGTCTCGACAGTTCTTCCATACGAGAATTGGTGGCAATGGTTGCTCCTTCTGATTCTTATCCGCTTTTCTTTCATTTCAATATGGCAACGAAAAAAGAAGTGGTTTGTCAGAGGAATGTTGATTTTGCTCATTTGCCCAAACTTGGCCTTCATCGGTTATCCGAAAACTACAACGTTAGATTTGTGATTTTGTTCTTTTGGTATTTATAAACCTTTTGGAAGATGCTTTAGAACGTTGTTGAGTAATTAGTGAAAACCTCAAGTTTTTATTAGATTGAAAAAGTACGAACTCACACGCCATATTCATCTGGCCATCTATACAGAGCTCAAGGGAAGCAAGATCCTACTGAACAACGGTTCTTTTACCGTGCAGTCGTTCGCGTTGTCGATAGCTACACTGCTAAGTATTTTTTTTTCATTAACTTTATTGCTTTAACAGAGGTCTTTACTGTTTCTGTTTAAAATTATATATCGTGTTTTAGTGACGTTACTAATTCGGTTGAAAAAGCCTTGAGACGAGCTTGTTTGGAAATCAAAGTTGCATTATATCGTTCAAGTACGATAGACCGCAATCACGTGTTTTTGTTTATTGAACGTACCCCTTCAAATAGCAAAATTCAGATGAGTCCTGCTGACTGGAGGAATGTGATTTACAAGGCTTATCGAGATTGTAAAGTTTGTCTTTTTTTGATTCTTTTTCTATTTCTATTAGCTTTTTATTTAAGGATGCCTATCTGTTTTTTGAATTTTATTTGAAACGGATTTAACATTTGCTGGACATAAAATTGTGCAAGTGCCTTTGTTCACAATTAATTCGGTATTCATTTTACTTTTCTTTACCTTATCTGTATAATATGGACGGAGGTGTGAAGATAAAAGATTTCATACATGACTTTTCGTTCAGTTGTTATTTAAAAGGAGTTTAGGAGTCACTATGGCGCTCTCTTGTGAATCAGGTAGAAGTCGATTTTGTTTTGTTTGGTGAAGCTCGTAGTTATGAACAAGCAACTAAAATTTTGATCACAGACGATACTGGATACACTCCATGCATAAAATCTTTACGTGCAGAAGCTAGCAACGGCAATTCGGATGTCAGCAAAGTTTGTTATTCAAAATTCTTTTTTACTCAAAATTCAGGATTTCAAGAGGCTTATTTTTAACTTGAGTCAATTTCTTCAAGGCATTGAATTTTTCGTTTAGTGGCTACATGTGGATGCAGGAATGGAAGGCTTTGAACATGGCCTTGAAATTATGATTGAGGGAAACAGAAACACCGAATGGAATCCTTTCGTAGACCCCTACTTGGGTCGTTCTGAAATTGATAAGCGAAGGCTTAAAGCCAGAACTGCCAAAACGACATACGTTTATGACTACCCTCTACTTTTCCAGCGGGCTTTAACCTCTGCGTGGACTACTTCACCATCGTAGGCTTATAGTGTTTTGAAGAATTTTTATTTGTAACAGTTATTTCAAAGCAGAAAATAGTTATTGTTGAAACCCCGAATTCTTTAGAACTTTTTTGGGCAATTTGGACTGTATTGGTTGCTTTAGATCGAGCAAAAAACCGAGCCAAATGCCGCAAGATCTTTGCCAGTTTCATGAACTGGTGTATGATGAGGCGGACCAGAAATTGATTGAACGTGAAGATGCTGGTTCCCTTAGTGAGATCGGTATGGTAGCTTGGCGGGTTCGTTTGATTGTTCCGGAATATCCTGAAGGGCGGGAAATAATTGTTATTGCAAATGACATTTCGCATCAAATTGGGTCCTTCTCAATGCGTGAGCATAATTTGTTTTATGAGGCGTCCAAACTCAGTCGAGCTGAAGGCCTGCCTCGTTTGTACATCGCGGCGAACTCTGGAGCACGAATTGGCCTATCCAATGATGTTAGGCTTTGACTTCAAATGTGCAGCTACTCTTAACTTTCTTCAGATGTTAGATGCTAACTTCATTCACTGATTTTTCATTTCAGTTGAAGAAGCTGTTCAAAGTCAAATGGAAGGATGAAAGAAATCCTGTCCAGGGATTTGAATTTCTTTATCTGAATGACGTTGATCTTGAAAAAGTCAAGGGTCTAGTAGCTACAGAACGTGTTAATAACTACAATAAGATTACTGGCATTATTGGCAAAGAAGTATTTTTTGCTATTTACACTTCAATTATAGCGACAGTTCATCATTTTGATATTGATTATTTTAGCGTGATTTGGGAGTTGAAAACTTGGTTGGATCTGGTCTAATTGCTGGCGAATCATCGCGAGGATATGACGAAGTTATTACCTACTGTCTCGTTACTGGTCGCACAGTCGGCATAGGGGCATATGTGGCAAGACTTTTGAAAAGAATAATACAAGTTGAAAATGCAGATATAATTCTTACTGGAGCTCCTGCACTGAATTCTTTACTTGGGCGTGAGGTTTACACCTCAAATGGTCAACTTGGTGGGACACAAATTATGACAAGAAATGGCGTAACGCATGCATCAGTAGCGAATGATTATGAAGGAGTGTGTCAGCTTCTTCGCTGGCTCTCTCACACCAGAGCCAGTGTCAAGGTAATTTCTGATTTACGTCGAGATATATTTATTTTTGTTAGATGACTTTATTGTGTAACTCGAAATTTTTCCTGTGGTGCTAGTCTACTACTTTGTGGGATTACTTTTTGGAATGTTATTTAGTATTACGGGCAGAATGGTAGGTCTTTTGTGTTTTTTAGGCTCCTCTTAATACTACAAAATATGTTGATCCTATTGATCGTCCCGTCGCTTACTTGCCATCTTTTGCAAAGGATAGTGATCCGCGTTATATGTTAACCGGACATCAAGACCCGACTACTTTGGAATTCTTAGATGGTCTTTTTGATAGAGGTTCTTTTGAAGAGGTTGGTCGATATTCAAAGTAATCGGTTTCATGACCTAGGAGTGTGATATTTGTGGTGAATGACATGTATTCACTCAGGTAAAACCGGAGTGGGGCAAGACGATAATAACGGGACGTGCACGATTAGGTGGGTTGAGTGTTGGAGTTATCGCCGTTGAAACCAGAAGTGTGGTAACTGAAATACCTGCAGATCCAGCTGCTCCAGACTCGCAAGTTAAAAAAATACAGCAGGCTGGACAAGTTTGGTATCCTGATTCAGCATATAAGGTAGGATGTTGTTTTTGGGTTTTATTTCATTCTTTAATTGATTTTCACTTATGTTCTGTCAATTTAAGCCGTTTAAAGTGTCTGAACAGACTAATTTATTTTTTCTAGACCGCGGAAGCTATTGCTGATTTTAATAAAGAATCTCTTCCACTTGTTGTTCTTGCAAATTGGCGTGGGTTTAGCGGCGGGCAAAAAGGTATGGATTTTTGCAAATACAGTTCTAAACCATGCTTTCAAAAATAAAGCTGCGAGTGGCACGCATTCTATATTTTTATGTCTGTTTATTACAAACCATTTTAAGTAAATTTAATCAGTTTCAGTGGTATTTTTTTATTGCTTCTAAAAATGTGCCTGTTGGATGGATTCATCTCTTTTTTGAACAGATAATTGGCACTTATAGATATGTTTGAAATGGTACTGAAGTTTGGATCTTACATAGTAGACGAGTTCAGTAGATATATGCATCCAGTAATCGTTTACATTCCTCCTTATGGAGAAGTTCGAGGTGGTGCTTGGGCGGTTATTGAAAAACAGATTAATCCAGAATGTATGCATATGTATGCGGATCCACGATCTCGTGCTGGTGTTCTTGAACCGGAGGGTACTGTGCAAGTCAAAATGCGGAAAGTAAGAGTTTGATACGCAAACTTTGTTGAGTCTGTTATACTGCTTGTTTCAAGAATGTTTTCTAATGTCAGGATCTTGTTCCCCTCATGTGTAGAATGGATGAAGAAATGAAAATACTTATGCGAAGAGAGAAGAATGGCGAAAATTTGAAAACTGAAATAGATGAACGTATCGAATATTTAATGCCTACTTATCGTAATATCGCTATTTGCTTTGCTGACTTGCATGACACACCGATTCGAACAAAAGCAGTTGGTGCAATTCAGGCGAGAATTAATTTGATGCGGCTGTAGTTTTTAAATGATCAACTTAGAAAAGTTTCACAGATTGCTCAACTTTTATAATGTTTTTGTTTTCTAGGGAATTGTCAAATGGGAGGAATCTCGTCAATTTTTTGCCAGGCGTCTACTTCGCCTTTGTACAGAAAGGGACATATATCGCGAGGTCAGCTTAAAAACTGATTATATAATTATTGGCTTAGATATTTGATGTATCAGCATTTGTCATAATGGTTACTTGCTGATGCCCACTCAACTGACTATAAATCTCTCTTCAGTGTTTCGACGTGAAGACTGTGAAAGATTTGGAAACTGGTCATAATGCGTTAAGAAAATACATGAAAGAGAAAAAAACTGAAGTAAATGATTGGGATGCTTTGCCGGACGATATAGCCTATGAAATTATGAATCGAGAGAGGAAGAGCATTGTTGCATACTTAACAAAAATCAATAAACTAAAAATTTTGTATGCAATGGCTAACAACTTCGGAGTGTAAGTTTCTTCGGTTTAATTTTTCGTAATTGGTGTAGTTTTTCAAACGCATTGTTGATGAAGTAGTTATCACTGAGAGTATAGCGGCTGTTTATCTAGGGAAAGTTGTTTAGAAGTGGTAAATAATAGCTTGTTGTCATCCATTACATTTTTATAAACACTTGTACTTTATTTCAGACCTGTGGATAGGGTGGAAGATTTTGCTGCAAAATGTGATGCTCTAATACGGGAATTCAGTAAGTAACCATAATTTATGAAAGAGTTTATTTATATAATACTTTTGTTATTTGTTACTTGAAAGGCTAAAAAGGTTTTTTGTACGGGTCACAAGTTAGTGATTCACTTGCATTTAGTTGAAGCTGTTTATTACGGGTTGAGATACTCGTGAACATTCTTCAAAAATTGTAAGAAAGAAAAACTTTTGTTTAGTTTTGTAATATTCTCGGTATACTCACCCGCTTTAAAGATTCTCTATTGATTTTCTTCTGTGATTTTAATTGTTTAAAGAGAGGGTAGAAAAAAGTTATATTCTGTATACAGTCGTGTGAATTAATATAGTCGGAATTGTTCAATTTCC